CATACATATATATATATATATATATACACATACATACAGATATACATATATACATATATACATATACATACGTACATACATATATATATATGTATACATATATACATATACATACATACATACATACATATATATATACATACATATATATACATACATACATATATATATAAATATATATACACATATATATATATATATATACATATATATATACATATATATATATATATATATACATATATATACACATATATATACATATATATACACATATATATATATATATATATATATATATATATATGTATATATGTATACATATATATATAATTATATATATATAATTATATTAATTATACTAATATACTAATTATAATAGTATAATATATAGAACATCTATTCAGGATTAAATCTGATCCATCCATTTTTTTATATAAGTAAGGGTCTAAACCCCAATTAATATATCTATTCTTATATCCCAAACACCAATACAATCTGCAAATAAAGTATTAAATTTTTTTTAATTTTTAGTATATAATTCAATTTTTAATGTTATACATTATAGTTTAATTGAGGAAGAATCAGTTGCTGATCTAGATAGGATAAAAGGTAAGTATCTCTCATCTTTTCTCACTTTGAATAGGATTGGGACTATTGACAGCCAGATAAGATGCCTCTTTAAAATCTCAAACATATTCATTCAGTCATATGCTGTTTTTGTACCTATACACTGCAATGTTACTCTCTTCTGCAAGCAATGCCCAGCATTGGCATAAATGTTTGACATCATGACACAGGCTGTAGCATACATCTCTCCATCTCTTGCTGATACCAAAACTTTGATAGCAGAAGTGAAGGCAAACTCCCCAACGCAAACATCTTTCCACTTGCAACAAGCCGCCAACAGCGTCATCCAAATCACGGCATTCGGCTCCACTCTCATGCTCTTCACCATCCTCACTGCCTCGTCCATGCGATTTGCTCTCCCGAACAAGTCAACCATGGCGCTGTAGTGCTTCAACCCGGGAGAGATGGCGTGACCGCTCGCCATAGCCTCAAAGAGCTCTTTCCCCGTGTCCACCAGTCCAGCGTGACAACACACATTGAGAAGGACGAGGAACGTCGCCTCGTTTGGCCGGAAGCGCAGCTCTTGCATCCTCTCAAAGAGCTGGAAAACGCGCTCGTAGTCACCCTGGCGGCTGTAGCCATCCATGAGAGCGTTCCACGAGACTGTGCTCTTCTTCTCCATCGACTCAAACACCTCCAGAGCTTCGCCCATGCTTCCACACTTGCCGTAGAAGTCGACCAGAGAGTTTGCTGTGGCGGCATCCTTCTCGAGCCCAGCGCTGACGATCTCCAGCCGGATCTTAGTGCCAGCTTGCATGTCCCCGAGGCTACCACAGGCCTTGAGTGCCGCGATGAAGGTGACAGTATCGGGAGCAAAGTTTTCGTCGCGCATTCTTGCGTAGAAACTCAGCGCCTGCCTGCCCAAACCATTCTCTGCCAGCCCCAGGATGATGCAGTTCCACGAGACCACGCTTCGAACACGCATGCTCTCGAAAACTTCGCGGGACTCTGCTATGAGCCGGCATCTCGCGTAGAAATCGATCAGAGTGTTGGCTACGAAGACGCTGAGCCCCTGGCCTCCTGCTGCTGCTCGACGCCGGATAGCTGCAACTCTCTCTTGCAGATTTGCGTTGCTTGCATCTTGGTTTTCTTCGTCCACCAAGCTGCTGCAAGCTTTCAAAGCAGCTACGAAGGTAAGATCGTCTGGAGCACAGCCTTCGTCCTCCATTTGCTCGTAGAGCTTCAGGGCTTCTTTTCCATCCCCGTTCTCGGCATAACCAAGAATCATCGAGTTCCAAGTGACCAGATCCCTGTCTCGTCCCAAGCTTTCGAAAATCTCCCGAGCGTTCTTAAAGCCGCCACACTTTGCATACGCCGCAACCATCGCATTTGCGAGAAATCTGTGCCGCTGCAACTCATCGCGTCCTGCTTGACCGTGGATCGCCTTTACTCTTTGCAGACACTCCAGCTTCACCATCTTCGAGTCTTCAGCTGGCTGTAGATCCAAACTCTCTACCAGAGCCACGCAAGCCTTGAGCGCAGCGATGTAAGAGACGTGGTTTGGAGAACAGCCTTCGTCTTGCATTTGGCGATAGAGCTCCAACGCTCGCTTGCCATCACCAGCCTCGGCAAATCCAAAAATGACGCAGTTCCACGACACCAAACTCCGCACTGGCATGCTCTGGAAAACTTTCCAAGCGTCGGTCATGCTCCCACACTTGGCATACATGTCGATCAGCCCGTTTGCCACAAAAACGTGGAGCTCGCCGTCAGAACTAGCAGCAGCCGCTTGACTGTGGATTGTTCTTCCCAAAGCCAAACACTTTGTCTTCACGAGCTTGCCTTGTTCTCTCCCTGCTAAGCTGATACACGCCTTCAAAACCGCTACAAAGGTGGCAGCGTCGGGTTTAAAGCCTTGCTCTTGCATCTGTCCATACAGATCCAAAACGAGGCCGGCCTCTCCATTGAGAACGTTCCCCATAATCACACAATTCCAGGAAACCACTGTCGGATCCACCATGCTCCCAAAAACCGTGAAAGCATCGACCAAGCTCCTACACTTGAAATACATGTTCACCAGGCTGCTCGCGACGAGAACTTGCGAGTCGTGTCCATCTCTGGCAGCTCGTGAGTGAATTGCCTTTCCCCTTTCCAGATAAAAACTCTTATCAGCCCCTTCCTCTGTCACACTGGAGCAGCAGCAAGCCTTGAGAGCCGCCAGCAAAGTTACACGGCTCGGAAAAAATCCCTGCTCCAGCATTTGATCGTAAAGTTGGAGAGCCATCTTTCCTCCTCCATTTCCAGCATAAGCCATGATGATCTCCGTCCATGAAACCACGCTGTGCTCTTTCATTCCTTGGAAAACATCCAAAGCCTCCCGTAAACTTCCACACTTCGAGTAGGCCGTGATCAAGCTGTTGGCCACGAAGATGTGAATTCCAGAGACCATCTCCCGTGTAGCTTCCCTGTGTAGCACTCTAATCTTCCCCAGGCACTGGATTCTTTCCACACCACCACCGCCTTCTTCTTTTTTCACTTTCTCTTCTTCTCCGGCCACACCAATGCAAGCCTTGAGCGCTGCCAAGAACGTTACGTGATTCGGCGGGCAATCCATCCTGGAGTAAAGCTCTAGCGCCTGATGGAAATCGCCAGCGTGAGCGCAGCCCAGGATGATACAATTCCAAGTCACGACGCTCCGGCGGCATTGCATCGTCTGGAAGATCTGGATCGCCTCCCCAAGGCTGCCGCATTTGGCGTACATATCCACCAGGGCCGTGGCGACGCAGGTATTTCGATGGACCATCACCACAGATTCTTGGAGGAGCTGCGCGTGGATTTCCCTGCCAGTATCTAGCCGATTGAGGCTGCCGCACGCCTTGAATGCCGCGATTACCTGGGAGGCAGTCGGCATTTTGCCAGCTGCTCGCGCCTCCACGTAGATTTCTAGCGCTTGAGCCGCGCCTGGCGCCCGGATCTCCATAGCCGTACATACTCGCATAAACCCTAAAATGAAAGCATTACAATTAAAAAGAAATATTCTATATCAGAACATTTTAGTTAAAATAATAAGTTCGTTCCAATATACTTATTTAAACCAAATCTTAATGGTGTCTTAACTCTATCTTAATATCTAGTAAAGAACTTAAATTTGTGGTAGAAATCATCTGAGAAGTCACCAATTCCAACAGCAATAGTGACATAAGACTGAGAGGAAGTTGGACTTGGAGAGCAGTGTAATAAGAAAAGAGTTGGGATTTATTATTGGATTTGACATTACAGGAAGGTTATTTTTCTATTTCCTTTTTCATATTTCAAATAAAAATGATTTCTTTGATAAATATCTAATGATAAGTGCACAACAATAATAATAACTACATTACTTGGTACTTGCTTGAGACCCAAAACGTAAAATCAAAAAGGGAAAAATCATAAGCTTCCTCTTGAATTGGTTAAGAATCAGACCCAGCTAAGAGATAAACCTGCTATCAAAGTTTGATGAGCTGTGGTCACAAGATAAAAGACAATGAGCTGGGGTCTCTTAATCTAAACCGGTGACTCTTAATCTTGTAATTGTTTTATAATTTTGTAATAGCCAAATTTGCAGTACTTTAGGCAATGAGAATATTGGCCAGTGGATTGATTATGCCCTCAGTAGATGCAGGAGGAAAAATTCTTGCTTGATCCATGTGTATAGTGGTGATGGCCAGGAAGTGCTGGCTTTTGGTCCAGGAGATGTAAGAAGATAAGAAAACTTTACTTCAAATGAAATTATTCAGAACACTCCAAAATAGATAAGAACCAAGTTGCTTCTTCAACTACCATAGAAGTGCCATATCCAGGAAATATTGATAGTTTTAAAAGATTATTTATTACATAGGACTGGAAACAGGATTTACTCTCCATTAATGAACGATTGAGATGAAATCCCCAGAAGCTTACCATCATATATTTGCTATCTCTATAGCCTTCACTCTGCACCAGCATGCTAAATGCTTATTCTTCTTTGATTAATTGATGAAAAAGCATGGATTGACTTTTCTCTCATCTGAGCATAGCTTAATATCACATGCTTTGATTTAAAAATCACTTAGAGCCTAGTTAAAAAAAGCTTAAATTACAGCTCTACCTTTTTCTTGTAGTCCTTGCACAACATTATAATTGTTAAAATAACATACACACAGTGTTCATGTAGAGAAGAAATCACTCACAAGAGAGACTTATAGCCCACTACCACTGCTAGGGAGAAGCATTCGCTCCTAATTGCTAACTTTGAAATGCTAATCTAAATTCTAGAATTTAAATCTAATATGAAAATAAATATGGAGTCAATTTCAAGAGTTATTATTAAATAGATTCAAGAATTATATAATCAGCATTATCAAGAAGAGTTACAGTCCAGCATTTAATTTGCCTCACTTCTGGCACAAGACAATAAAGTTGTTAACAGTTCCTCTTCGTTTTTTTTATAGATAAGTTCTGTTTGCAAAGCAATGCAAAGCATTAAGAGCTTGCTGGAAACTATGATTATTTACTAAATTTCCAAGAAGGCATGAGATTCATGCTGATTACATCAAGTAACAATCAGGTAAGCCTTTAGTGTTATTGCTCATGGGTCATGATCTCCCTTATCTTGAGTTTAGAGAAGCCTACAAGCATCACCAGATTGTGAGAACTCAGCCAACTATGTATGTCTTTGGAGACTGCCATTATAAGTACTTTTTCTTTAAATTTTATATAATCTGCACTGCTATAGATCTTGTGAATGACATTTTCAAGACCCCAGGTTCCTCCGCTTTCTCCATCTTTCTGAAAATCAATGCAGACAATTGCAAGATTGGCAAGGTGATGGAATCGATAGTAAAGCTTGCCATTGTGTAGCTCCGTGTTCTTCTCTAGGACAATATGTTCTTCTCTAGAAGGTTTTTCATGCTCAAAGGGTGATGCAACGCTTTTGGTGGTAGGCATTCGTGCATGCAACTAGACAACACACTCTATGTTTGCCACTAGCAATATAACCCATTGTGCTTTAGATTGAAGGCTGCAAAGTAAACTCGTCTTACCAAATATGGTTGCTTGGCCACTTCTCATGGAAAATATATGCTTATGAAAAGTTTTCTTTCCTTACATGTAGTAAAGAATAAAGTATTGTTACTATTGGTGTTTGGGAGTAGCTAAAGTATTATAAGTTATTGGGATTTTTTTATTTATTTGGACAACACTCTAAAGCTCTATTCACGGGGTGGTGCAGTTATAGAAATCTAGTAACACTTGAATTATTGTTTGTCTTTTAAAATTAACAGTTTCTGCCACGTAAGTCTATAAGATATTCATAATGCCAAAGATATCTGGAAAGATTAGACTTAAAGCTTTGTTGGCAATTTTCTACTATTCACTCCAGAAAGAGGGAAATTAATTATAGATTAAAATTTTAAAAGAGTTATATATTTTCAAAAGAAGATACACATTATCATGGATTATGATGTTAGATTGATGAACTTGGTTTCATCTACAATTATACAAAATATCTATTATACATTACCTTCAATTTATCAATTGCCTATAAATTGTAAGAATACAAGGACATAAGTTTGAAACTTGATATGTTCATATATTATTTACATCTAAACATTACATATAACTAGTTTATAAATTTGGATAAAAGAGATTTTAAGCTTGGTTTAAAGTTATTACATGTAAAAAAGCTATGGTTTGGTTCATGGTCATAAAAAGTTATGCATGTCCTCCAAAGACCTATGATGAGAAACATTTGGGACTTACAAACAATCTCTACAATGTACTTGGCAAGCCTACCTTTTCAGTGTCTTCTCGTGTTTGAGTTTCATCCAGTAGAGGCAGTGACTTCAAAGCAGGATTCACTCCTTGTGATAAGTCAATTTACACTAGGAGAGTGTGGACACTGTTCGGCCATCAGAAATCTCCAAGGTTTGTTCCTGGATGAAAATATTTTCACCCCAATTTCTTGAAAATGTGAATAGCTGACAGATCTCGCAAAGGGCCATCAGATCTCTGCTGTCTTCTTTTATCCTTCACCTGTAACTCATCTTCTTTCAGTTTTTCCTTTCTTCTTTTCATTCAGATATGTAATATTGCTACTGAATAAAGCTTTTGAAAGCAATAAAACTATAGCAAATCAATCTCCACAACAATAGATTGGGAATGAAGAAATAAAAACAGTAGATAGATCTTCAAAGAAGAACAATCTTAGCTCGTTCTAAAAGCTGGCGTTCTTGGCATGAAATAGGATTTCAGGCAAGCAGTTTGATCATCAACTTTCGATTAAGTTTTCTCTGTTTTCTAAAATGTTAGCTCGGATAACTCTTGTCTGGCGGTGACGGTTGATGGGCGAGCTTGCGAGCTATGGGATCTCACAAAGAGGTCCCAAATAAGCACGATTCCTCTTCCTGGAGCAACGTTTGGCCGCTTCTCTCTGAGGGCCAATGTTTCCTGTTATATGTAAAATTGGATATTATAATGCATCAATGCCAAAAATAGCAACTTTAAATAAGGAGGAGACCATCATTGAAATTGGTTAAAATCAAGATGATGATCAACAAAGCTCCTTTTTCCATTATTATGAACTATTTAAACATGTCTTCTAAACTAAGTGATAGAAGTGGAAGGCTCCAGAGAATCTGTCCCTACAACATGAGAAAGATGAGCATGAAATGAGCTAAAATCATGAAGGCTCACCTTTCTCAAATTGAACCATCATGTTCTTGCTTAGATAGCCAGTTTCATCTAGTTGGAAAGGATAGTATCCATATTTTGTCAAGTAACAACACTTCTATATAGTCCCATACTGCAAAAACTTATTGGATAACCACAACATAACAACTTCATTTGGATGTATTCTCAATAATTAGAACTCATTATAATGTTAAAGCATTATATTCATAAGCATATTGAAAGCCAGTTAAAACTACAACTTGAAATTACGTTGTAGTGCAAGAATTTGCATTTTGAGAGTGGGAAAGTTTTCCTCAAGTGCCTTATAGTCTGAAAGGTGAAAGGACTCTTTTTTACAGTGCCAACACAGATTTCTAGCGAGCTTGCTAGATGCCTTGAAAGGAGGTCTAGAGAACCTCATCATGAAGTGCAGATTGTAAATCTCTTTTCTCACCAATATTTGATGGAAATCTAGAAGTCTGTAGAATTTGAGAACTACAATTGATTCTTTGTAGCGTTTCTGTAGAACTATTTTCTTCCAAAACTGCAATCAACACTGCCTCCAAGCTATATTAAGCACTTGGAAGTTGCTCCTAGAAGTAGCATGACATGCTTGCCAAGATCCAGGGAGCTTATTTCTATTGGAGGACTCAAAGGTGCCTTATTCCTCCGACAAAATATGTGTGATGAAATGATGAACACTAACCATAGCAACACATACCATTCACATAAAGCACTAAGTATATGTGTACATATGAACCAGGTCCACTCCTGGAGACTTCCCCATTGTCCCTTTCATCTGGCACATGCTCTTGAACCTGCTGCTTCAGCTCAGCCAGTCTATCCAGTAGGATGTGTGTCATCATATAGCTAAGGAGCTTGTTCACAATTAAGTTCTCTCCACTCCACAGCTGTGAAATGAGTCCCTTCTAGTCAAACTTTTTCAAAGTGGTGATGCCTCCCAAGAATCTATGAACAATTGCTGTAGGACACACTTGAAACTAGCAGAAAAAAAATCCATCACCAACAGAAAATTAAAAATAGAAAAAGAAAAAAAGGAACATTTACCTTGTCAAGCATGATAACAATGTTTGATTATAGACACCCTCGACCTGTATGGGTTACAAACTTTCAAAGTCTCCTTTGATATAATTTCAAACCTAGTTCTCGGTGTCAACTCCATAAGAGAAATTGGCATCCTTTCTCCTCTTCTTGGAGGCAGTATCCAGATTCATAAACTCCACCTATAAAAATGTGAGTTAAGATCCAAGTTTAAACCTTAGAACAAGGCCATATTTCCAACTGACCGTTTAGTAGGCAAGATCTAACACCCCCTGTCTCATCTCTTCAAGCTCCAACTTTGTCAGAAGTAATACATACCGGATGATGCCACTCCTTGATAACATCTTGTGAATCTCCACTCCAAGATTAAGATAGCTCCCATGACAATACTGGCTTCCACATAAACAAAATGAATTATTGTACTCCTCTTTTCTCTGCAAGACAATGAGTCATTCTTGCACAATCATAAAGAGGAAAAGAGCAAACTTCGCCTCCTTCCCTGCACAGGATTATAATTGAAAATTAATTCTGTATTGGTCATAAAGCATCTCCAATGATGTATTGGCCATTGACAGCAGTCACCCTAGCAAACCCCATCGAACTGATTCTCCTCTGCCCCGCAATTTGCCTTGCATGAGAACTTGCAAATTTTTCTTTGTGCATGGCATCCACCACTACAAGATCGTAGCCAGCAGCATCACCCTGTAACCTTAACTACACTCAAGAATCTGGGTAAGTACACATTGCTTGTTCTCATTTTACCCTCGGCCGCCATAAGCTTGTCCACCTGTGGGAAGAAGCGATTGAGGAGAAGAAAACAATCCATGATTTGCAAGATGGCACATCCAATCATCCAAGGCAATTACATCGGAAAGGCCTTGATAAAACTTCTCTCTTTTTTTTCCCCTGCGTCTGGAACTGTTGCCAAGCAGCACATAATCTCCCTGTATCTTTCCCAGAGTTGGAGTAACCCCTGCTTCCCATTGCTGTGACTACGATACCAGTTGATAAAAAAGAGGCGATCCATGGCTGCTAGAGCTTCTTCTAAATCCGCGAGCTTCTCAACACCTGCAGTGGCTTGCTCACCCGGCACTCTTGTTGCAAAAGCTCAACTGTGAAAACATTGGACGAAGCTGTAGTCATGGAGATAACGTAGGCTCCAAAGCAGTCGGGTGGCAACTCGGATATAACGTAGAATGTGCCTAGCACATCCTGGACCTTTTCAGTCATATGAAGATCAGCACCAAAGAGTGATCTCTTGCTGCGGAGCTCTGTGAGCAGCAGCCATTCTTGCCTCTTCGTTGCTCGCTAGCTTCTGTAGTTACCCAGGCCGAGATGATTTATGATGGCGTCCATAACATCTGTATGCCTCTCGGACTCCTGGCAAATGTCTAATCTCACGAGTCCCAGCCCGAAGCTCGCGACGTGACGCATGAAGTCCAGCAGGCTTCTCAGCAATTGGCTTGTCACCTGTAGAGCAGAGAGAGCAATCTCAGACCTCCAAAGGCTGCAGTATGACTTGGACTTGGAGGGTCTCCATCTATGTGTGTAGAAGAGCCCAATACCTATGAATATGTAGCTCCTGAAACTCTTCCCCAAGGTGTGCACTCACATATATTACAGAACCTGCAGGCCGTGGTTCTTGCATAAATATTAAAATTCATTTTATCGTATTGTGTAAATGTATGAAATCAGTACTATCTTAATATATACTATTTACTGTTATTATATATAAGAGTTAGAATGTGGTTCCAATGTATACAACAGAGTACCAGTAACATTACACTACCAGGCTACAGGACTGGATTGTATGCTAGCACTGAAGTCTAGCAACAAGTGGAAGCTGACAGAGGCTCTTGGAAGTATAGATCTCTATGGGTCACTGTTGCGAGGGAAGAGTGTAGAGCACACCAATTTCCATGCATATGAAAGACCTAGAGGCACTGACAATACTTAAAAGGAAAACTTCCCTTGATCGGCCTGCTTATAGGCGACTGGAGTGACCTCCTCTTTTGCAGCTCGCAGTTTTTGTATAAAGTGGTGCTGCTATTATCTTGCTAGTGTAACTATTTGCACTGTTATTCACGATGCTAGTGTTGTTGTGCTTGACATCTAGAGATAAAGAAGTCGACTTCACTGGACTGGCAAAGCTGTCTGCGGAGTTGATGATTCTCGTGGAAGCCTGCTGCTGTGACACATGGCGTCAATGGCTTCTGGTCGGCTGGAAGCTCAGAAGATAGGCACCTGTAGGCAATAATCGGGGGTGGCAGAAGCGATCTCACTGACAGACCCCCTGTGTTGTTATCCTCGAGCTTTGGAGCTGGTGTTGCATGTCCGGCTCTTTCTCCTCCTCCCATGGATAGACGGCCGTTGGCCGGTATGTTGCCGCTGGCGGCACTGTTTGCCTTGTGCCTAGACCCGCAGTCTTTTTGTTGTTAGGCTTGATAGGACTTGGATGTAGCTTCTTGCTTAGTGATTAGTTGCTCCTGGATGCGCTTGTGATCTTGCCAGCCAGAAAACGATTTTTTTCGCATAGGTGTAACTATAGGAAAGCAAATGCTTACCCACATCCGTCGCTTCTCTTCTTCCTTTTCACATTGCAAGTGATTGTATTCCTCAAACATTGGAAAATGTCAGTTCTGCAGATTAACATTAAGAGCTACAATAGCACGGAATGAATTTCTTACCACTTGAGGTTTGCATTCCCACAGGTTAATCTTCACATAATTATCAGTCTTATCCTCAGCTTGAGAAGGTAATACTTAGCTCCTGGAATGGAAAGATTGTGAGAATAGACAAAAAGAAGGAACAAGTTCTCACATGTGTGAATGTTTCATCTGACAACATCCAATCCACATAACCTCTCCTTGATGCTCAAACCTGTATACTCACCTTCTAAGAGCCCTTGCACCCACCATTTGCCATCACTGCTTTCTTGTGCCATCTATGCTTATTTGAGAAAAATAATAAAAATAGAAGAGTCTAACCTTACAAGTCAATTGCACATGATAAAACTGATTCTAGTGAGCAATAATTCATATATTAAGATGGTAAAACAATGAGACCTAGCAATCTCTAACATAGAATCCATAAATGCTTCCAGCAAAAGAGCAAATTCCCAATGGGCACCAATGCACTCGCTTCCTTAACTATTTTTTGTTAACCATTGTAACCATTTTTTACGTGTCTTTCATACACAAAGGAAAAAAATCTCACCCTTACTCTTTTAAATATAAAAGGATGCTTTAGACTAAACTAATGTATGCTGGGTCCTTTTACAAACATTAATGCTAGACTACGACTTTTCAAGTCTTTCCCTGAAAGACTTCTGGATACACAAGTGGCTACGACTGACTCAAAATAATCCGGGTGAGACCAGCTAATGAATGACTTTTAGCTTTCAGGGAAGAAAACTTTCAGCTATAAAAACAATGCAGGCATTTCACTTTGGTGTCTCCCAGTTCATTTAGTAAATAGCAATTGCTCTTGATGTTTCTCTATTTTAGGATTCTCATGTTGTGTTCTTTCATTTTAACTCTCGTGGCAGCTGATGGTGGAAGTCCTGGAACAACCACAATTGTGAGAGGCGAAGACCTCCAACCATGGATTACATCTCTCAAGGCCACCTTTTGTGCAGGCTTTAGGCATCTCGTTCCCTCTATAGTTTCTCAATATGGTACACCAAAATGCCCAACACAGTCATCTGGAGCGCAATGTCCAATGACACTGGAGGTTCTCCAATCGGGCTTATCAAAGGCGACCAGCTCGCTTTCCAGACCGATGGTCGGCTGATTCTCACTTCCAACGCTGCTGGAATTGTCTGGGGAACTTCTACAACAACTCTCTCAGTTACAAAAGCTTTACTTCAGGAGAATGGCAACTTAGAGCTGCTAGCAAGCAACGGAGTGCCTGCTTGGCAGTCATTTGACCGCCCCACGGACACCATTCTTCCTGATCAGCAGCTCATTGGAATCACCCAGCTTGTCTCCAATAACCGAAAATATTTCCTTCAGATGGATGGGAGTAAAGTTGCATTCTATTACCAGGGATATTGGCTTGAACCATACTGGAGGATTGAGAATGAAAATCAATCCAATTCTGCCAATTCTGTAGTCAGTCCTCGTCTCAACTTCAGCACTAGTTTCTTTGATGGGAGCGGCAGCTCCTGGAAAAACCCTGTCAAAGTATATGACACAGCACAGAGGTATGCGCTTGATTATCCTAAAGTTGGTCTAACCCGGAGGCTGACCGTGGACGATGATGGCAACTTGAGAATCTACACTCTTGATGAGATTAACAAAAGATGGATCATAACTTGGCAAGCTGTTCTTCTCGAGTGCAACATCTTTGGGAAATGTGGGCGATTCGGGATTTGCACGTACCGGCCGACTGCAACTTGCACCTGTCCTCTGGGATTTCACCCCACAAATGCGTCCGATTCATCACAGGATTGTGCTTACAACACTCCATTGGCCAAGTGTCCCACAGGCCAAAACTCAACAGATCCAAGAAACTTCAAACTGATCCAACTTGTACGCACGGACTTCAAATACAATGACTACAATAGTGACCCGCTGCCAACTCCGTCATCCCAGGAGGATTGTATCCAAAGATGCCTTAGGGAGTGCGAGTGTCTCGGAGCTGCTTTCCAAATGGCTGGCGCTGGAATATGCTGGCTCAAGGGTTTAGATCCCTCGGGTTTATTCAATGGCAAGCAGTCCCTGGACGTGGACAACGTTTTCTTCTTGAAGCTTTCTGCCAAAGATCCAGGACAAAGTCCAGATGCAAACATATACGTGACAAATGCAAATGCCACTGTCGTTCCTGGTTTCCAGTGGCTGGTGATCCATCGGCCATTTTTCAGAGACGCTCCTCGAGTTGCTCTATTCATTACAACACTTGTGTTGGTGGTGTTCCTCTTGGTTGTGGGGCTCTGCTGGACCATAAGCGCTAGAGCACGTAACAACATGATGGATCTCGATTTCAGCAGTGGGCCTGCAAGGTTCACGTATCAGCAGCTGCAAACTTTCACAGACAACTTCTGTGACAAGCTTGGATCGGGAGGATTTGGGACGGTCTACAAGGGGCGGCTTCTAAATGGCACCCTTGTTGCAGTCAAGGAACTGCAAATGGCCATGCAAGCTGATAAACAATTCCAAACTGAAGTGGAGACCCTCGGCAAGATTCACCACATCAACCTCGTCCGGCTGTTGGGGTATTGCTATGAGGACAATCGAAAGCTCCTGGTTTATGAGTACATGCCTAATGGTTCACTAGAGAAGTTACTTTTTTTGGATGATGCAAAGCACTTTTGCAGCTGGGCCAGCCGATTCAGCATTGCTTTGGGGATTGCAAGAGGGATAACATACCTTCATGATGAATGTCAGGAATGCATTCTCCACTGTGATATCAAGCCTCAAAACATCCTGCTTGACGAGAGCTTCTGTCCAAAGGTAGCGGATTTTGGTTTGGCCAAGCTAATGAAACGGGAGAGGGCATTGAGTGTCACAACTGTTCGTGGAACCAGAGGATACCTTGCGCCTGAGTGGATCAGCAACCTTCCAATCACAACCAAAGTGGATGTCTACAGTTTTGGAATGGTTTTGCTCGAGATTATAAGTGGCAGAGAGAAGTACATCATGACGATATCTGCCATAAACTCAGAAAACAGCCGATGGTGTCTCTCGGACTGGGCTTACAACATGTATCAGGCTGGAGATATGGAAAGCATTGTTGACAAGAAGCTTGTTGGGGAGGAAGTGGATTTCGTGCAATTCAAGAGGCTGCTTAAAGTTGCATTGTGGTGCATTCAGCACGATGCACATGCAAGGCCATCAATGGGGAAAGTGGTGCAAATGATGGAGGATACTGTACAATTTCCTGAGCCATCATCTCCAAATTCTTCTTTCTCCATAGGTTTAGATCCTTCTATGGACTACTCAGAAGACACCGTTGGTTCTCTGACAAATGGACGATAAGTAGACGACTCTAAAATAATGTTTTTATTGGTTATTTTGACGTGTTTATCAGTTAATATATTTTTACACATGTTATAAGTATCATTTGAATGTTTATAATCTTAACCTTTCTTTTTTTAACAAAATGTTTTTAATGAAATAAACATACTCTAAAGGTCACTCAGCAAGCAGAAGACTAAAGGATGGATTCTTTCTAGCTGGGAGGAGATGTAGAATTGAGTCATGGTGGTATTGGTAAATGATGTATACAACTGCCTCCAATTCCAATTTCACACCAGCAGCAAACACAAAATCAACCCTAGGAGCCGGAGTTGATGGAACTTCCTCTTTGCAACTAGAGCACCAAGACTAAATGATCAAGTGCTAAAAGAATGAGACTTTTTGGCTCAAGGTGAACCATACAATTCGAATCGTTATCATAATCCATTTCTTTTAAACTGTTTGGGAATTTAGTCATGGGACCAGAATGTGGAAGGGAAGGCTCAATACTTACCAGTGACCATACCGAAATCAAAATATGGACATGTTTAAAGTCCAGAAGCAATACATTTGTTCCACCAGCCGTAGAAAAGTTTCCTACTATCCTTGATTACACTAATCTAATATTATTTGTCAAAGCAAGGGGATGTAGGTACGACGATTAGGTAAGAGGATCGATACCCCCCATCTCCATTTTTTTTTAGTGTTTACCATGCATAATACTCACATAACAAGAGAACGAAATAAAATCTTCAAAATCGATGTATAAACCATGGGCCTGGACCTGGGAGGGCCATGGACTATTGGACTATCAAAAACTCGGCGGAGACAAGCTGGGGAGAGCAAGGCTACATGAGGCTGCAGCATGGAAACCATGACCTCCCACTGGGTCGATGTGGATTGAATGGCTTCGTCTACTTTCCTGTCAAAGAAAAGGTACCACCATCTCCATTACCGCGACTGCCATCTCCGCCACCACCCTCTCCTCGACCACCGCCATCAGCCCCAGTTCCGTGCTCCAGGAGGATTTAGCTTCAGATTTATTTCGTTGATTTCAAACTTTGCGTGCTAAAGCCCAGCTACCAGATTCATAAAGATAAGGTGAGAAAACAAGATTGAAGTTGAGGTCCAAGACTTACTTTGCGATCTTTCACAGGTGTGGTGGCTCCCAAAGTTCTCCAGTCGATGTTGCCAAACATTCGGCGGCCTGCATCCCCATCTGGAACACTTGCGGCATTTGCATTTGCAGCAAGTCCAGGGGATGAGGGGACATTCTTAGACTCGTTGAAGCATATAGGCAACAGACCAAAGGTTTATAGCATTTCACAACGCCCCACGAGACATGGGGGTGAACACTCCATCTTATAAACACTTTGACAGACTTTTGCTGGAGCGAAAATCAGAATTCATGAGGCCTTCAACTGCGGACTGGACCACATTTTGAAAACTCTTTATGGAAGATTAAAGATGGTCTTCCTTCTCTAGCATTTTCCCTTCAGTTTCTTTGTTGCTAGAAGCAGGCCGAAGAAAAAGGTGTCGAGCACGCTTGGCTTCTTCCGGTAGCCTCAACGTTGCCTGGGGAGTGTCTTGGGCGATCCATTCCTTCGTTAGCTCAGTTTGTCACTTCAAATTTCCTATCTTAGCTCGGTTCTGATTGCCGTTTCGCTTTTGATTTGTGTTTGCTCTAGAGGGTAGAATTGAGCGTTTTACAGGTCGCGCGTCGCTATAAGCTTATTTATAATCTCTTTTGGTTTGCTGTTAAGTAAATCAGCTTTGTTGCTTTTATAATGATCCAGATTTTATTATCATTCGTTTTAATGGGTAGGAATTGTTTGCTAAACCACAGGTTGCCACCTCCTGGTTTAGGAGTGTTGTGATGGGAGGTGAAGGCACTCTCGGATGTGCTCAAAAGGGGCATTCTTAACATTTGATATGTGTTTTAAACTCTTGTGTGATTCACTGGTCACTGTACGTTAATAGTGGGCATTTGGCCAATGGTCAGCAATTATCTTCTTATGTTTGCATCATTAACGAGCTTTGGGAAGGGATGTATAATGTTAATATTACTATTGAAAAACTAGTGTCATATAATCATAGTAATAAATCAGTCACGCTCAATAGTTATTTTATAAAAAGGGAGGAATATTCTTGGTATTTAGAGTAGAATATCCAAACACATTAGAATATCATTTCAGTATTTTTTATGAATACGAAAATTTTAATTTATTGTTTTAAATAAAAACTAAAAAAAAAACCAAGAAAACCAGTTACCATACCAGAATCTTCAAGAAACCTAGCCAGCAAAGAATCACCCAGCAAGAACCCATTCTCGTACCCATGAGGCTCGCGTAAAACCATGGTGTTCCGAAATGTTGCCCCAAAATCCCAGACTGTGAAAAGGAGGACAAGCCATCCTCTAATGTAAAGACCAAGGATACAGTCATGTGAAGAAGTAACCCCAATGGACCAAAGGACTTAGTGGTCGGGTTTGGAGGCCTTGATCCAATGGCAGTGTTGGTGAACACGGCCATGGACAAAAGGGGACTTGGTGGGGACTGGAAAAGGGATATTGGGGAAAGTTAATCCCCCTGGCACTTTATGTATCACTCTCAATGCAAAAAAAGCAATCCGAAGAACTGTGGTTAATAAGCCAAAATAATAAGAATGATATAAATTCTTTTGCTATGAACAGCTTCTATACAAGCTTGTCACGAAAGCATAGCCAGCCGGATCATTTCCTTGCGATGCTTCCATAAGCGATTGAAACGCAAACTCTCCGACCGCCACATTCTTCCACTTGAGACAAGCCGCGAGGAGACTCCTCCAAGTCACCACAGTAGCTCTCATAGGCATGCTTTCCAGCACCGCCACCGCTTGCTCCATCTCGTTTGCTCGCGCGAGAAGATCCACCACGCAGTGGTAGTGCTCGATCCCTGGGATCACTCCAAACTCCTCCATGGCATGGAAGTATCTCTTGCAATGGAGGACGAGACCGGCGTGGTTGCAAGCCGTGAGAAGGCTGAGAAAGGTGGCACCGTCGGGATGGAAACGCTGCTCGTCCTGAAGAGCGCGGAAGATCTGGAAGACCATCTTGGAGTTTCCCTGTCGAGAGAATCCAGCCATGAGTGAGTTCCAGGAGACGACGTCGAGCTTCGGAGGCTGGAATGAATCAAAGACGAGCTGGGCGTCGATCATGCTGCTACACTCTCCAAAGGCGTGGATGAGAGAGCTCACGACGGTGTTGCTTGCTGCGTCGCCGTGATCGTGATCGTCGTCGTCGTCGTCGATGGTAGCGCGTCTAAAAACTTGAGCTTGGATCGACTTGGTGGCTCGCAGATCCGCCAAGCTCGAGCAGGCCTTGAGAGCCGCGAGGAGGAGAGAAGTTATCCTCTGCCTCTGGAGATCCTCGAAGGCTTTGATCGTCTCAAACAGCAGCAATGCTTTCTCACTTTCGTGATTCTCGACGTATCCCAGCATCATCACTGTCCAGGAAACCTGAGAAATGTGCTCCTTTCTCTTCCAGAAAACCCGCTCGGCGTCGACCATACTTCCGCATTTGGCGTAGCAGGCCACCAGTGTGTTCGTCACGTATCGGCCAAGAGCAAGCTCCCCAGCTTGAGAGTGGATCGCCAAGCATCTCTCCAAGTTCACCATCTTCACCACCTTTCCATCGACTTGCCGGGGCTTCTCTTTTGCTGCGAGCTTGGAGCAAGCCTTCAGCACGGCAACTAAAGTGTGAGCATCGGGTGAAACCTCTCCATCCTGCTGCATCGCCGAGAAGAGCTCAAAACTCTTCTCCGCATCGCCGTTTTCCGCGTAGCCGAGAATGAGCGCGTTCCAAGAAACGGGGCTGCGAGAGCTGGCCCGGTCGAAAGCTCGCTGCGAGTCTGCCATGCTTCCGAGCTTGGAGTACATGTCGATGAAGCTGGTTGCGACGAACACGTCCAAGTCGAGGCCGAGTATCACAGCCCGAGAGTGAACAGCCATCCCGAGCTCCAACACTTTCGATGTTGCCGTGAAATCTATGTTGCCTTTGTCGGAGTTTTCGGTCGCGATGGTCGTGCAAGCTCTCACTGCTGCGACGAAAGTCCGTGTGCTCGGCTCGAACGGCATGCTCGAGAAGAGCTCGAGAGCTCTTCTTCCTTTCCCATTGTCCGCATAGCTCAGTATCAAAGCGTTCCAAGACACCAGAGTCTGATCGCAGGGAGCCTCGTGAAAAACTTTATTGGCATCCTCCAAACTTCCACTCTTCCCGTACGAATCCACGAGGGTGTTGGTCAGGAGAACGTTGGAATCGAGTCCCAGTTTCACTGCCTCGCTGTGAAGAGCCATAACTTTCTCCAAGAGCAAAAACTTTCTTCCACGATCGAGATGATCTTCCTGTTGCTCCGAGACTCTCACACAGGCTTTGAGCGCTGCTATGAAAGTTTGTGCGTTTGGAACACGCGCAACCTGCAGCATCCAGTGAAAAAGTTCAAGTGCAAACTCTCCATCACCACTCTCGACATACCCGAGCATCAAAACGTTCCAAGAGCCAACTTCGCAGCGATTTTTGATGTTCTCAAAAACTCTGAATGCGCTGTCCATGCTCCCAGATCTAGAATACATCTCAACCAATGCCGCCGCCACGAACAAGTTGAGCTCCAGGCCCAGCTCCAAAGCTCTCGAGTGAATTTCCATTCCTGTCCATGCTAAACAATCCCGAGAGCGCGAGCTCGACTTGGCCTTGAGGCATGCCACCAAAGTCCGGGAGTTTACGTCACAGCCCTCGAGCTGCATCAGTGTGAAGAGCTCAAAAACCCGATCAAAATGCCCGTTGTCGGCAAATGCCAGTAGCATGGTGTTCCACGAGGCTGTGCTGCGTTGTGCCATCCTCTCAAAAAGTCTTTGGGCTTCCAGCAATGAGGCACACTTGGCATACATGTTGACGAGCGAGTTTGCGACATAGATGTTTGAGTCCCGGCCGGTGTTGATGGCTAGCGCATGAATGAGTTTCCCGGCAGTAAGATCTCTGGCCTGTGTCGATTGCTTCAGTGCGGCTAGCAACGTCGAGATGCTGCTAGAATGCTGCTGCTGTAAATAACACA